ATAAATGAGGCCTACCCAAACCCTGCTACCCTAAAACATGTTACTCCAGCATTCCTCAGGGCCATTCTCCACAGGACCGGTGTGGATAACATCACCAAAGATGACAATCTCAGTCTTTTGGAGTACATTTTGGGTGATGAACAATACAAAGAACTTGAGGGTCTTCAGCTCCTTCCACTCAGTGATGGCTCTTTCAGATATTTCTCATACAGAGAGGAAGACACTGCTTTGATTGACAGCCATGAATTTCCAAGGTAGGGTTCCAAGGTATTGATACATCTATCAATATTTAAAATAAATGTTATATTCATTATGACTAAAGTTGTCATCTTATGTTTTATTTGGTTTGATTGCTGTTGCTTTAAATTTTGTTGCATACAGGAAAAACTAAGCACTCTTACTGTCACTACAGAGAATACTGTCACATTTGATTTGTGACTGAATATTTAGAAAGTGGCTGTCAATTTATCAACATCCCAAAAGATCTGATTTACCTTCTGACCCAGTGGTTTGAGTTTTCGTACATTTTTGATTATTCTGTCTTATTTTTGAGTTCACTTGCAATCTATGGTTCCTAGGTTATTTTGTTCACTATGGTTTATTAGATTTCCCCTTGTGTCTTTGCCCTCTGGCTCCCTCTGTGCATCTGTGTCTATTTAGTTGTGTGAGTCCTTGTGTCTTGTTTCCCCTCCTTGTGTTTTATTCCATCATGTGTTATCCTTAGCATTTCCCAGTTTAGTTTTGTATTGCTTATCCATTCAGCAAATAAAGCTGTTTTTTTGTTGGTTTTTTTCGTTTACATCCTGTCTCCGAGAGTTTGCATTTGGGTCCTTTTCCTGCCTGTAAACAGCCAGTTCATGACAGTGAATGTTGTACTACCACCATTAGATGGTAGAAAGATGCACTGGGCTTATCAGATTTCCAAGAATGTTCCTATACCAAATGGCTCCTTACAAAGTTGCTCAACATATGTCATTACTTTTGTTTTTGTTATATTGTCTGCGAAAGTTCTCGATCATCTAGGTCATCATAGTCTAAAGAGCTTGGAAAGAAAAGCATCTGGACTTAAGTTTCTTGAAGACATTTCTGTCAAGGCTGAGCAGCCGGTGTGTTTGAGGTGTGGACCCAAAAGCAGACATGGGAGAGAAGAACTGAAGTTTGACAAAAAACTGGTTGTTTATTTGGGCTGAATACCAAAACAGAAAAGCAAGGCAAGGGCGAAACTAAACTATGGAGGGACACGCAAGCTTGACACAAGAGACAGAGAGGGGGCAAGAAAGGGAGAGGGACACAGAGGAGAGAGAAACAAGGGGAACCTACATAGACAAGGAGATAACACATGACAAACAGAAAAAGACTCATAAACAAGGAGACATGGACAATAACATAAACTCGACTAAACTTCAACTAAGACGAACTAATAAAACACCAGAACTTAACATTATCTCATAAGTAATCAAAAATACAAAATAACTCAAAATGCTAGGTCACAGACCCAGCACCCTGACAGTTTCACCTCTTATCTTAGAAGCTTCTTCGGTTCTAAGAGAAATTGCTGGAGAGTCTAAGATTTTAAGCCCTATGGGGGTGTCCCCAAGAGGGTCATGGACCCCTTGTTAATAGACAGTTGGTGTCGTAAGCCACTGCCTCTGTTCAAAGATAAATGAGACCTACACAGTCATTCACAGTGGACATAGATGGCTTCTTTTACTCCTCTTTCAAACCATCTGTCATCTCGGTCCAAAATGTGAACATTGGTGTAGTGGCGAATTTCTGTGCCAAACCTTGAAAAAATAATTCTTCCACTTCTTAATGTGAGCTATTCAAGTTTATTTTCTGACTTGTACATAGAAACAAATCACAATGTCACGGTCAAAAAACTATTTGCTGCTACAGCACACATTTCCACGTCCACTTCCATTCTAACCTGCTACCACACATGCGCCGTACAATGTTCATCTTAGCCGAAAAAATGTAAACACACTGCATATATTCCCTGATAACATTTTATACAAATCAAACATGTGACATAATAACTGAAACAGTACCAAAAATATTTTTCTATGGATTGGCTCTAACAATTGGCATCCTCGAAGGACTGACCCTTGTCCTTTAGACTCAGATGAACAACTGAGTGGACAAGACTTAGCTTTTAATCTGCAACTGTCTATCTGGCAGCTGTCTGCCATCTATAATCCAGTTTCGAGATCCCTTCCCAGATGCCTTAACGCCCACTCACATCCTGGGTCATTTGACCTCAGTAAATCATATGATAGGGTGAGGCTAGTTTTCACAATGGGTTCACCCAAAACCTTGGCTGGTTGTGACCCAAACCTGTTTTCACACCTTGGCTCGTGTGATTAGGCAGAGGATCAATAGCGGGTCTATGACCCTCTTGCAGACACTCCCATAGGGCTTTACTTGGGAGCTCTTCACCAAATGCTCTTAGAACTGAAGAAGCTTCTTCTCGGATGAGAGGAGAAACATCTTCAAGAAACTTAAAGAAGTACAGACGCTTTTCTTTCCAAGCTCTTTAGACTTTTTGTTACATTGCATTAACAAACTTATCTTCTTTTGCAGAATCTTGCTGCCATTCTGCAATCACCTCTTTATCCCACACAATCTCACTCCTGTCTGCAGTACCCATCTAATACAACTAGCCAGAAGAAGTAAGTCAAAGTAATTTGATAGAACGCAGTAACCTCAGAATCATTTGCATGTGCCATCTACACATTTTATCACAGCACAGAAATTAAAATCTCTCTTTATTTTATAATCTGTTCTTTAGGTTTCTTCAGGGTCATCAGTATTGATGCATCCCATGTAGCTGAATATGCAAGACGATATTTGCCACCAGACTGGAAACAGACAGGGAAGAACCTTGTTGCATGGGAAAACAGCAACAGTCAGCATCCACCTTTAGATTGGTTTCAAGAATTCTGGAGGTTTCTCAACAATCATTTTAATGAGTTAAGTCCTTTCACTGACATACCTCTAATACCAGTTAGTCCTCTGTCTCACAGTCAAACTGTATCAGTAGCAAAACTACAGCAGGACACAACTCTGATCTTTCAGAAAAACAAGCATTTGAGTTTGTCAGCCCGAATAGCTCAGTTGGTGAACAAAGTTGGTGGCACAGTGGTGAGAGGAAATGAGTGGCTCAAGCATGAAGACCTTGACTCATATGTGCTGTGCCCATCTCCAAGGAGTGTTTTGAAGGTCCTGATGAATTTAGATTTCCAACATCTCTTGACAGAGCTCACATCTGCCTCTCACACAGCACGCAACGAACTGAAAGATTATCTCTCTTATCTGGATTCTCTCTCAAAAACAGAGAAAGATTTTCTATTGAAGTTGCCTTTGTTTCAAACCATGAAAGGATTCAGTGTTGCAGCTCAATCGAAACAAGCTCTGCTTCTGATCTCAGGCCTAACAGTACCAACAGAGCTCCCTGTGCCTGATTCCATAATCCAGTGTTCTACTGAGACTGACCGCAGACTGTTACAGCTGCTCAAAGTTCATCTCTTGGACACCGCCGAAGCAGCCAATGTTCTTGTTGACAGCATAAGGAAAGGGAATTGTAGCAATGACGAAACTAAAAAAACAATGACTTGGATTTTACAGCATGGTAAGGTGCTTTTCTCACAAAACGAATCCCTGAAATGTAGCTGTAAGGACTTGAGCTTCATTGAGGTGAATGGACAGCTGAAAAAGGCATCTGACTTTTTTGATCCAAGAGTTCAGACTTTTAAAGTCATCTTTGAGTCAGACTTCTTTCCACCGCCTTCATACACTCATTCACTGCAGATGCTGGAAAGCTTAACAGAAATCGGATTACTGAATAAAGAGATAGATGTCTCACCTGAACATTTGCTACATGCTGCCACGCTGACTGACAAACTGTGTGTGAACTCACAAACTGAGGCTCTGAGAAGAGCTCAGGTTCTGTTGGAAATGTTGGAAAGTAATGATCTACTGACAAAGTTTTCTCACAAACAACTTCATTGCCTCAAAATGCTAAAATGGATCCCATGTGAACAACCTGGAAGTAACAAACAATTCAGTGATAAATCTCAGAAGTATTGTTTGTTTTGCCCAAATGAAATAAGACATTCTGTGTATAAGGACATTGTTGGACATGTAATGCCACTAACAGGGAAGCTCAGTGACAGAGTTAGCAACAGACTTGGTCTCAAAGACCTACCACCACCTGAAAAAGTGATTGAAAATCTGTCAGTCTTGAAATCAAAAGCACTGGAAATGGTTAATCCTGACACAGATGTAGACTTCAAAAGACAGCTGCACAGCATTTACAAACACATGCAAGACAATGTCTCTGTATTTGTTACAATGATGAGCAATGAGACATGTTGGCTATGGACTCACAACCAGTTTGTTGCACCCCAGGATCTGGTTCTTGAATACCCAAATAATCTAGATCTGAGTTCTTACATTGGGAAGGTGCCGAAGGAATTTTTGCCATACAGAACATTGTTCCAGAAGTTTGGCCTGAGAAAAGTACTTTCCAATGAAGACATTTTGGGCATTCTGTACTCTGTCCAGCAAACTGTTGAAGCAAGACAGCCGCCATTTGCAAGTTCCTCAGAGGTCAAAGTGTCAATAGAAATTCTCAACTGGCTCTGGAAAGAGAAGAAGACAGTTCAGGATGACATCCCAGTGCCAGTTATTGCTGAGGGAGGAAACTTTACTCTTAAACCACGATCAACAGCTCTTTTCTGTGATGTAAGCAAAAATGGACTAAAAGAACTAAACTGCAGAGAAGAGGAAATTTATGTCATACATGAGGAAATCCCAAAAGCAGCAGCTGAATGGCTGGAAATTCGTTTTCTCAGTACCCACATCCTTGATCCAGAGGAGATAGGAATAGAGCAGTGTGGACAGTCTGAACCAATAACAATGAGAATAAAAAACATTCTTAAAGAGTACGATGAAGACAGTGACATCTTCAAAGAGCTCATCCAGAATGCAGAGGATGCTGGGGCAGATGTTTGCAAGTTCTTGGTGGATTTCAGAGTACACAAAGATGCCCCCGAAAGCCTGATTGACCCTGACATGGCTCTTTGTCAGGGACCTTGTCTTTGGGCTTTCAATAATGAGCAGTTCACAGCAGAGGATTGGAAAAATATTGTCAGAGTTGGCTCAGCCTCGAAGGAGAACCAAGTGGAAAAAATTGGAACATTTGGACTTGGATTCAACACTGTGTATCATGTGACAGATGTCCCCTCCATCCTTAGTGGCAACACTCTCCTCATACTTGATCCAAATGTTACTCATCTCACAAAACATATCAAACATAAATCAAACCCCGGAATCAAGCTGGATCTCTCTCAAAGGAGAATCTTACGGTGGTTTCCTGGTCAGTTTGGATCATATGAAAACATTTTTGACTGTACTTTTACCCGAAAAAGTCCTCCTGAACCCTATCCAGGCACTCTGATCAAACTACCTTTCCGAAGTGAAGAAGAGGCTGTCAAATCAGAAATAAGCACAAAAGTGTATCAAAAACACAATATCTTGGATTTTCAACATCACTTTTCTAAGAACTCAAAAACTCTTCTTCTTTTTTTGAAGAACATCATTACATTATCCCTCCAAAATATCCCACACAATGGATCAACTCCACCAAGAGATAATGAAAAGGAAACCATCTTCGTTGTGTCCAAAACCACTGTGAGTGCAATGGAGATTCCTGATGACACCAGTGTGTCCAAGCAACGTCATGCTGAGGAATCACTGATGAAAGTTGAATGCAAATGCAAAGAGGTAATTGACTCCTTCACAGTAATCATTCTGAAAATATCCAGTCAGCAGTCTAATGAAACTGAAGTTCAGTTCTGGCTCCTGTACAACTGCTTTGGGACACACAAATCTTTGAAAATGGCCCTTCACAAAAACAAGCAAGCCAGTTTCTCTTTGCCCATTGGAGGGATTGCTGTGCCTTTGCAAAATGATCCAGAAACTGGAAAATTCACCACATTACAATCAGATCTTGTTGGACAGGCCTTTTGCTTCCTTCCTCTTCCCATTCACACGGGTCTTCCTGTCAATGTAAATGGCACATTTGCGGTGACAAGCAACCGAAAAGCTCTGTGGGAAACTGGAGTGAAAAATGACTGGAACAAAGCTCTCCTTCAGGATCCAGTAGTGACAGCATATGTTACTGTACTCAAGGCACTAAAGAAAATGTCAGAAAACAAGCAGCTGGTGAGTTACTGTTATCACAACTTTTGGCCTGATAGAGAGAAAGTGACTGAAACTTTCAAGCCTTTAGTGGATGCACTTTACTCAACCATTGTTGATGACTCTGTTGGTCCAGAGCTCTTTAGTGATGGAGAACAATGGTTTTCAGTGAACGATGTCATATTTCTACATGAGAGCATTGAAAACGATGAGGAAATTGGTAATCTTGCAGTTCAAGTGTGCCAGAAATATGCAAAAGGACCCAATCATGTTGTTCCTCTTCCACTGTGGCTGAGAAATAGTTTCAAACAGGCTGGCCTAGAAAAGGTTTTACAAAACAGGACCTGGAACTGGGAGAAGTTCTACCAAGAAGCAGTGTTCAGTAACCTAACTACAATGGACTCGACGAGTAGAGATATCCTTGTGCTGCATGCTATTGATGTTAATGTTAAAGAAATTGACAATCTGCTGCTTTGCTATCCATGCATACCCACAAAGGGTGGACAGCTCCAACATGTCAGGA